TGCAAAGGAGAGATGCGATGGAAGAAAAGGCTGGGAAAAACTCTCCTCGTGCCCCATCCTTTCTTTTGCCTACATCACTCCCACCGCCGTGTCGCTCCCACCACTAAATAAATGAACATAGGGAGGAGGAGATTGAACTTGAATGTTAACCACCGTAGACACCGCAGAGACAAACCCTGATTGCGCAGGGAGAAGTCGTAGGTGTGATGCCTGTCGTGGCTTTCCGTTCATGAGCCACGGAGACAAGTCTATACTGGGCGATGATTCAAGCGCGTACATAACTGTGTTTTGTAATGCTAGTCTCAAACAAACTGCAATCATAGATCGTCATTATTGAGCCGCGTTAGGCCATTTGAAGCCCAGTTAATACCTGGTTACATTCCATCTGTCACAAACACAAAGACCCTCATCTTTATCTTCATTCCGTGCTGAAATGGAAATTGGGCTTGTGGGCTAATTTGGCCAAAGTAGGTTTAAAACTGACTGGGCATAAAGTAAAGTAATCAACATCAGTGCCAACTGTAGATTAAGGCGACATGTGGCCCTGGGATAATAACAATATAAGATTTCATGACGAAAGGTGCCATCGAAAGGACAGATATTTATTTTTCTTGTGAATGTAAAAATCATGAAATCTGACATTAAACAGGCTAGCGTGGTCTTTCATTTGACATTCCACCTCAGAGAATATGGCTTCGGTTCTGTAGGCCATTTGACTTCACTACAGAGGAAAATGACTTTAGGGAAAATGCAGAGCTATCTAGCACAGAACACTGGCCCATAAACACTCACGATATGAAACAACTTATGGCACACGCACTCTCACACCATACACATTAAAAGGGCGTTGACACGTTAGCAAGCAGAGGTGATTTCGTCATGTCACCCTCCTTAACAATCTGCCATTGGAGGAGAACAAATGATGATGTCATCACTGGCACAGCGTGGGTGTCTGAAAGCTTTTCATGCAACCGCCTCAGTTGAATGAAAGGCAGACATTACGCACACATAAGAGCGGAGGCCATATGATCACTAAAGCAATTTTAGATTTTTTTTTTTAATTGAGGTGAAACACTGACAACACAAATAATGTTACCGGTAATGTAAAAAAAAAACTCACAGGAAGTGAATATCTGACAATCATATACCCTTCCTAGCAGGCACTGGAGCCAAGTAAAAACCACCAAGTTTGGCATCACAGGGTTTCATCGTCTCAATTGTCAAATATTTTCTTATAACCTGTGTGTGCACGTGGCACAATATTTTTTAGATGGTACTAATTTAAGTTTTGAAATGAAGGACTCAGTTGAAAAAAATATTAGTATTTACACGCTTATTTAAAATAGCCCATTTCTTTGAAGCGTGGACCTTGCAATATTATGGTATACAGTATTTTTCTTTGCCTCCCTTTATTTGCTTCAGTTCGAACTGCTAGTGTGACATTTACATTCGAGTACGAGTCGAGTGTACCCTGTAAGTATCTAAATGTAAATCAGACTGGAGCGTTATCGCAGCCATCCTCATTGCGATATCAACATTCCCAGTCTGGCTGACAGGTCAATTGAACTGTGAAGTCACAGGACGGAAGAGGCCTTGTTTCACTCATGAGAAAGTACAATGATCCTGTGGGCAGGATGTAGCTGACAACACAGCTAAATTCATTCAGTGTGTCTATTTTGGTGCAACGTCTAGACATGAAAATATTTTACTAGCCACCCGAAAAAAAAACCAAAAACAAAAAACCCCCCGAAAAAAACAAAATAAAACACCACTGTCTTCTGCAAAGTTGCACAAGACACCAGATGAGACGCCACAGCTTGAAGACGAGCTGTGGCGAGCAACTCATTTCCTGCCAAGCACCGTATAGGTTGCATATGTCAAATCTAGCGATAAATTGTATTGAATGTGATCATGAGTTTATGCCTTCTAATGTTTTTCTGATGGTATAATGATGTGTTGATTTTGTAAAACTGTTTTTACATCCGTGTATTTTCAGCGATGGGCACTTTACCCTATTTTGCCGGTGCGTCCTCCGTCCTCCATCACTGACCTGGGTACCCTTCCGTCATTGTCCCTCTGTCCTTACTCATATACCGTATTTTTCGGATTATAAGTCGCAGTTTTTTTCATAGTTTGGCCGGGGTGCGACTTATACTCTGGTGCGACTTGTGTGTGAAATTATTAACACATTATTATATCATTTCACATGTTATTTTCACACTAAACCGCAAGAGGACACTCTAGGCCTGTGTTGATAAGTGGACAATGAGTGACGTAAGCGATGTAGAATAGGAAGAGCCACATCTTCTACCTCCAGAGTTGGCAGACTTGTTTCAAACAGACACCGAGGATGAAGATTTCATTGGATTTAGTGATTTGGAGAGACACTGACGGTTTGGTAAACTTATTAGCATGTTCTTTATGCAATAGTTATCTGAATAAGTCTTAATATGTTACGTAAACACACCAGCCGCGTTCGTTGTTTATGCGTCATGTAATGTTAGCTTGTAACATACTTATTCAGCCTGTTGTTCCCTATTTTTATTTTTATTTGCCTTTCAAGATGACAGGTCTGTTCTTGGGATTGGATTTTATCACATAAATTTCCCACCAGAATACTCCAGTGCGACTCATGTATGTTTTTTTCTTCTTTACTATGCATTTTATGGCTGGTGCGACTTATACTCAGGAGCGATTTATAGTCCGGAAAATACGGTAATCCATCCTCCTCCTTTTAAAGCGCTTCCATCCCAGTCCCAGGCACGATTAAAGGGACGGACGAAAACCCACTTTGGTCCTTGCTTATTCCGTTTTATACATCAGTCTTTGAAACAACTGTATGTCTGTGATCTGCCCATGCATGATACAGAGGATGATAAATCAAAAATGCATTAATACACACCTATAATTCCAAACGCTCACGTTTTAGTTAGGTAATTGTTAAATTAGGCCTCTTTGGCACACATAATTAGACAGGTGACTTGAGTTGGGCCTTTACGTAGCTGTGACCTTTCTACAAGCTTCTACTTGGCCTTCCTTATCTTAGCACATTTTCTTGCTGAATGCATTTAAAAGCGTGGAGTCCCACGTTGTCACATGGCCTCGGCAAAGTCGCCCCCTTATGTGAAATAGTACAAGAACAAGCAACCATTTTGGAATTAACAGACCTTCTTTGGCATGGCCGAAAAGTCTCTGTGGCCGTGTCTCAATCTTTTTGACATACTTTAAATATTCTTCTGATAGTTAAAAAGTAGAATAGCGAGCAATATAGATACACGGATCAGCAAAAATGTCCTTTTCAGTTCATTTCAGACAAAAAAACAATTAGAAAATAGAAAACTGCACGAACTACAAAAATGTAATTGTTCTATTCAACATGCATCAATACATTGCCACTTTGTGCATTATGTGACCAATATCTGATGCTCAAATAACTGCAGTTGTTCGGATATTTTGACTGATCATTTGCTGTTATGTTGGGGACATTTAGCCAAATGCTCGTATTAGTGGGGGAGCATGTAAAAAGTCCTCCGAAAAATGGATGCTGCTATCGCTGCAAAGGTGAAACCACTGTCCTTGTTTTAATTCACAATGATGATCATCATCACCATCGTCATCATCATAATTTTAGAATGATATAATAACCTCCATGAACATGGATAAAATGATTGATTGACAGGATACTGAAAGTTTAAAATTACCCACAACATTATCACTCAGAATCTTGTGGTTTAGGCCAAAATCATTGACTGGCTAACACTTTTTTTTAGTTGAAAGGAAAAAAGGAATAAAAAAAGAGAGAGAGACAGAGAGAAGAAAAGCAACATATCCTACCCACACTGTGGTGTGCTATCGGGTTAAACAGTCACACAGCCAAGATTAAACTTTAAGCACAAGTTTCAGTGAAAAACAAGACATTTGTCATGTTAACGGTCAGATGCATGGAAATGGAAAACATGCTGCATACTTATGGATTCTCCTCAGAAAGTGCGTGACTAAGAAAGAAAACGTTTGACTTATTTATATCGCTGTCACGTCTAAGTGGCCCTTCCGCTGTTCTTTTAAAACCCCGTTTTACAGGTTAAATTGTTTTCCTTTTTAATTCTCTAAAATAAGCAGGCCCTCCCATTGTTGTCCGGAATGAGGGCTTGGGGGCAGGGGAGAATGAAGAAAAATAACTGACTGTGTTTTTTGACTAATTTCTTTCCTTCTGTTCAAAGAATAGTTTTCGTTCTAATCTTGAGGAAACATATTGGTGCGAACACCCTGGTTCAGCCGAACGTTAATCACTGAGAGTCCTGCCTTGATTAAAAAAAGACTAAACGGAGCTGAACCTTGATACTGTAAGTGGGAACAACAGCACAAAGAATCACCCGGAAGAAGAACCCCCCCATTAACTCCGTCTCTGGAGCATCTGATACATTAGGAGTCCCAATCAAACTGCAAATTTTACACCATTGAGGCTGTGTTGGTTGTAATAAAATGTCCTTTCTTAATATTGTGCCTCTGTGACACAATAAGCGCTATTGTAGTTTTGGTCGTAGGAGAGGTCGTAATAATAGTCATAATAAACTTCAGAGAATCCTTTTTTCTTCACGACCACATTCGTCTAATCCCGTGATTTTATCATACACACAATATACTCAATGTGGCCCTAAAACGCCTTCTTAAGATATCATTCAACGGTGGTTACCATCAAGAGCAATGAAGTACATACATTGATTCCAAATTTCTTCACAAAATTTAATCTGGCATAAAGTAGAGGTGACCCACTTTGTCGCTCTTTGTTCTCCATGCACACAGATGTATGTGTGTTGCATCTGTGTGTGTGTTTGTGTGCACGCGTGCCGGAGGGTGCCATTGCACTGACTGAGGTCCATCTGGCCCTCTATAATCAGCTTTTAACAACAAATCAAAAACAAAGAAGCACATGTGCAAGGCCAGTCACGCTGCCACGGTCACAAACATCCCAGTGCGCATTTTTATGGAGATCCAACACACTTGACAACAAGGTGGCATGCTGGGATGACAACGGATAGTGTCGGATCATGCTGTTGCATTTCTGGAGCAGTGTGTCAGTGTGTTTGAAAGCATGTGCATGTGGCCTGCATCTGGACGCTGTTAATTCTACTTAATCCTTTTTTTGCTGTCAGCCAGCCAGCCTTGTGTTCAAGCCCATGTAGTGTGTCACTCATCTTCTAACAGAATGCACGCAAACCCATAATGTCTTGTTAACGTGGAATGATCACAAATGCTGCTCGTGTTAAGGTAAGATGACTTCTTTTTAAATGCTATTTGCAGGACAACCGCCGGGTGCAGAAGTGACAATGCAGAAAAATTGTGCATTAGGAGGGGACCAAATCCTTTGTTTCAAAAGCCAGTGAACCTTTGCTTCCAAATACTGGTATAATATGGATTCAGTGGACTGTTTTCGCAGACAGAATAGTTTGGGGAATTGCAACCCCCGTTTGATTATTTGATAAGAGGTTTTGAAGCACAGTCTTTTGTGAGACCTGAAAACAGAGTCGGGCATTTAGTCTGTGTTTTGCTGCACCGCGAGAATGTTTTGGTGAAGTCTTGCATCGCCATGCTAGCTTACGCAGAAAAGCAGTACTGATGGATTTGGGTTACATTGCTCAATCAACTGGGCTCCCAGCGAACTTTTATGATCCATTACGCACAGGGGGATACTTTTGCCAAGGTGCCCTTGCCAGCTGGCTAAAACGATGGAAGCCAGCGATAGCTCGCTTGAGGTTTGCACAATTTCTCCTGTTCACTCTTGCTGAACACATACATGTTGTTTTGTCATTATAAAGCCTCCTTGCGGTCCTGTCTTATGGAAATGCTTGATGGAATCAGGGCACATGCGGCGTGCGCAATATGTCTGCAGACAGCTCAGGCAGAGAAAATGTGCAGTGGTTAGAGCTTGGGTGGAGACAGCAACATTTACCGTAGAACTGCAGACAAATATGCATGAGCTCCACCCTCGGTGAGCAATCAACTTCTCTGTGTCATCATGGTCTTTATCATGCAGACAGAGATTGATACCAAAAGTTCAAATCCATAATGATGATTACACTGGTGCCCCCCCCCCCCCCCCGTGGAAACAGGACATGGAAGTTGGCAGGCCTCCCCCATCAAATCCCATCCAGTTTTACAAGTGGCCTCTCCTTGAGAGATGTCTGTGCAATTCTTGTATTGCAAAACGGCATGATGAAATTGATGTCTTCTTCAGCCACCATGTAATTAATTTGCCCAACTTTTCTCCTGAGCACACTTCTGTTTGAGCTCCCTGTGGATGACTCATATTTCAGGGCCAATGCTTTTCATGGGTCGGGAGAGGCAAGGAAAGAAGACAAAGGAACTACGAGAGGACTATATCCAGAAAGATTAAGAGGATTTAATTTTTTTTTTTTTTTTTTGCAACGCAAGCAATAATAACCTAAATTCATAACATCTCATTTGTAATTCCTTACTCTGGAGTAAACATTGTCCACCAGCATAGAGTCAAAGTGGCACTCAAGTCGGGGAATACCAGGCTTTTAGCAGATTACTGCATCCGTACGGCTGTTAACAAATACTATGTCCTTATTTAAGTAGAAGGTATCTCGGTCGGAAGCTCTTTGAAAAAGTGTCACTTTCACTCCAGCAGAAGGCAAACCGTGCACCAGGAAGCGAAGTGGGTCAGCTGCACTGGGCAGGAGTAATAGATGGGAAGAGAGGAAAGACAATGGTTCAAAGCATCGTCATTGGTATTTGATCTATTGTCCTCCCTGGTCTTTAAAGACCACCACTAACAAGGCATCATCTTACTCAAATTGACTGGGTTTTGTGGAGCTAAGATCTCCTATGAGATTAAGTTCAGGTAGCTAAAGGGGTTGAGATTGAGGAGGAGGAGGGGTCTCTACTCCAAGCACTATATTTTGTGGGGGCACGGAATTTCAAAAGAAGGAAAAAAGATACGGCATCTATAGCCGTAGCAGTACAAGGAGTAGTGTTCATGCTTCACATTTGCCTACCACCACTTCGCTTTGGGCCCCGCTGCTGCTACCTGTTTGTCATGGTCATAGGCAGATATGAGAACTTGAAGCTCTAAGCTGTTAGCTATTTTTTTTTTTCCTTTCCCAAATGCACTTTTGCATTATGGGACGATGTAAACAAGTAGAGTGATGCATGATTTTGTTTGTTATGCATGCTGACATGCTTGCTTCTGCATTCTCGAGCATGAGCCGTTTCCATCAATTTGCCAACACAAAATGAATGAAAAGCAGGAAAAAAAGTTATGAGGGGCCTCTTGTCTCTTTTTTTTTTTTTTTTAAGCTCTTAACCTTCTTGATTGTTTGCAACAGTCCACAACAATTTTCTCTTCAGACACCTACAGAAAGCATAAGACCAGTCAAATCAGTTTCAGATAACATCAGTCTAAGCATTTGAAGTGTTAGCTTTGACTTTCCATTGCAGCCAATTTACTCATATACTTTGTGATAGATTTGAAAAGAAACGTTTTGAAATTATCGTGTGTGTGCCCAGGATTAGGGGGCACAAATGTGGATTTGTCCCAGATACTGTCAACCCATGCTACCTACCAAGGGAAGAGAACTCCGGTTCCTCGAGAGCCATGTCCTGCCTGTTTAGAGCACTCCCTACTCCAACACACCTGATTCAATCGATCATGATCGTTTCAGGCCTCTACAGAGCTTGCTGATGAGCTGATCGTTTGAATCAGGTGTGCTGGATTAAGGATCTAAAACAGGCAAGATATGGCTCTCGAGGAACCCGAGTTCCTTACCCCTGCTATATTTTAGGCATGCATGGATACCAATGTTATGGTTAAAGTAAATAAAATATTGGCAAAGAGAGTGCAACTCTTGTTTTCTTAGGTAGTAGAAAAAAGAAACAGCCCGTCCTGTTATGACTATATCCAGAAAGTTTAAGAGGTTTTAATTTTTTTTTTTTTTTTTTTTGCAACGCAAGCAATAATAACCTAAATTCATAACATCTCATTTGTAATTCCTTACTCTGGAGTAAACATTGTCCACCAGCATAGAGTCAAAGTGGCACTCAAGTCGGGGAATACCAGGCTTTTAGCAGATTACTGCATCCGTACGGCTGTTAACAAATACTATGTCCTTATTTAAGTAGAAGTTATCTCGGTCGGAAGCTCTTTGAAAAAGTGTCACTTTCACTCCAGCAGAAGGCAAACCGTGCACCAGGAAGCGAAGTGGGTCAGCTGCACTGGGCAGGAGTAATAGATGGGAAGAGAGGAAAGACAATGGTTCAAAGCATCGTCATTGGTATTTGATCTATTGTCCTCCCTGGTCTTTAAAGACCACCACTAACAAGGCATCATCTTACTCAAATTGACTGGGTTTTGTGGAGCTAAGATCTCCTATGAGATTAAGTTCAGGTAGCTAAAGGGGTTGAGATTGAGGAGGAGGAGGGGTCTCTACTCCAAGCACTATATTTTGTGGGGGCACGGAATTTCAAAAGAAGGAAAAAAGATACGGCATCTATAGCCGTAGCAGTACAAGGAGTAGTGTTCATGCTTCACATTTGCCTACCACCACTTCGCTTTGGGCCCCGCTGCTGCTACCTGTTTGTCATGGTCATAGGCAGATATGAGAACTTGAAGCTCTAAGCTGTTAGCTATTTTTTTTTTCCTTTCCCAAATGCACTTTTGCATTATGGGACGATGTAAACAAGTAGAGTGATGCATGATTTTGTTTGTTATGCATGCTGACATGCTTGCTTCTGCATTCTCGAGCATGAGCCGTTTCCATCAATTTGCCAACACAAAATGAATGAAAAGCAGGAAAAAAAGTTATGAGGGGCCTCTTGTCTCTTTTTTTTTTTTTTTAAGCTCTTAACCTTCTTGATTGTTTGCAACAGTCCACAACAATTTTCTCTTCAGACACCTACAGAAAGCATAAGACCAGTCAAATCAGTTTCAGATAACATCAGTCTAAGCATTTGAAGTGTTAGCTTTGACTTTCCATTGCAGCCAATTTACTCATATACTTTGTGATAGATTTGAAAAGAAACGTTTTGAAATTATCGTGTGTGTGCCCAGGATTAGGGGGCACAAATGTGGATTTGTCCCAGATACTGTCAACCCCATGCTACCTACCAAGGGAAGAGAACTCCGGTTCCTCGAGAGCCATGTCCTGCCTGTTTAGAGCACTCCCTACTCCAACACACCTGATTCAATCGATCATGATCGTTTCAGGCCTCTACAGAGCTTGCTGATGAGCTGATCGTTTGAATCAGGTGTGCTGGATTAAGGATCTAAAACAGGCAAGATATGGCTCTCGAGGAACCCGAGTTCCTTACCCCTGCTATATTTTAGGCATGCATGGATACCAATGTTATGGTTAAAGTAAATAAAATATTGGCAAAGAGAGTGCAACTCTTGTTTTCTTAGGTAGTAGAAAAAAGAAACAGCCCGTCCTGTTATGAGACTGTTTTTTTTTAATTCGTGAATTATAACTACATCCTTTTTTTATTCTTGAGCAGATTTATGCCCCCTTGTAATTACCATTTGTCTCCTCTCTGTCACAGAATTGATGGAATATGTTGAGAAAAATGCAAGAAAAAGCCAAGCAGGATCACAGCTCAGAGTGAAACCACAATGGAAGAGACTTTGAGAATGCTCATTAAACAACATGATTTACACTAACAAAACATGCACTGTTACAGTGCCAAACGCTTGGTTTCTTTGAAAATATACCACTTGGTGAACACTCTTCCCTTTAGTTCTATTTTGCAATTAGTTGACAATCTGGGGAAGAGTGAAGACATTGAATTCGACACGGTTGCATCAGCAGACCTGCATGTTGTCCATTTTTTTAAAATGTTACTCTCTTCCTAATAACCATTAATCGCTGATGTTTGAAATCAAAGCTCAAGATCCTCATCGCTTTCTTACACCCCGTGGAAGTCACTGCATTCCAAGACATCTCTGACAGTTTCACAACTTTAACCTTCTGTGGCTTAAACTGATTTGATCATGATAATGATGAGACGTCACGGAATACCTCCCCAGCTTCGCAGCACAGGGCTTTGGGTTGCTTCGTGAATGGATGGGCCAGAGATGTTATCTGGCCTTAGGGAGGATGTTTGGGGAGTGGGAGTGGAAGGGCTGTGCGGCTTCGGTGTGTTAATGCAGCTAACAGCCAGGAAGGCAGAGTGTTGACTCTGCAGATTTAAACTCGCTACTGATGGCTATGGGGCTAAATACTGACCCCATGGACTAATAAAGAAAATCACCT